AATCTATGATACTATATCTGTGTGTGAATCATATCTATCTATCTATCTATCTATCTATCTATCTATCTATATCTATCTATATCTATGGCTGGATGGCTCTTTGTCAGGAGGACTTTGACTACGTTTTCTTGCCCTGATGAAGGGAGTTGGATTGGATGGCCTTAAGTATTTTCTGTTGGTCATGGGGGTTCTGTGTGGGAAGTTTGCCCCTGATTCTGTCGTTCGTGGGGTTCAGAATGCTCTTTGATTGTAGGTGAACTGTGAATCCCAGTGACTACAACTCCCAAATGTCAAGGTCTATTTTCCCCAAACTCCATCTGTGTTCATATTTGGGCGTATTGAGTGCTTGTGCCAAGTTTGGTCCAGATCCATCATTGTTTGAGTCTACAGTGCTCTCTAGATGTAGGTGAATTACAACTCCCAAACTCAAGATCAATGTCCACCAAACCCTTCCAGTATTTTCTGTTGGTCATGGGATCTGTGTGCCAAGTTTGGTTCAATTCCATTGTTGGAGTTCAGAATGCTCTTTGATTGTAGGTGAACTATAAATCCCAGCAACTACAACTCCCAAATGACAAAATCATAATTTTTGAGTGATGGTCACTCCTTGTGTTGTGAGACATTTTGTTGCCAAATTTGGTGTGATTTCGTTCATTGGTTCTTTTGTTTTTAAGGTACTCATTATGCACAGAGCATTTATATATATATATATATTGTTGTCCGAGATCTCGAGTTTTTCCCCAGGGTGCGGCAGCTCCTAATCAGCCCAATGAAATCAGAAACAGAAATCAGTTTATTCAGTTCTGGCCAGAGCTGACACTAGGGAAAGTCCCAAATCCAGCATAATGGTAAAGCCCAAATGGGTATTTATAGAAAACTTGCACATATTTAGAAACATGAAGATGGTGAAGTTTCAGGATCTGTGGTTTCATCGCTTGGCCACAGATTGGCTGAAAGTTTTAACAGTCTGTAAATCTTGGTCGTTGATTGGCTGAGCAGTCTGGCAGGAATTTCCATAAATTCTCATCTGTTGCTCGTCTGTTGCGTGATATGTCTCCTGGTCCGGGAGAGTCTGGGAATGGAATTTGGGCATGGCTGGGAGATAATGGGCATTTGAGAGGATTATCCCTGAAGACACCATGCACAAGTCTGGAATTCTCGGGCATCCAGATGGTCCTAGGATTCAGGGACAATGTATTCTTAGGTGCCTTAATGGGCTCCACAGAGACGACAAATCAGTGAGGAGGTGGGTAAATGGGTTTTATGGTTCTGGCTGGGCTTGGAACCTTTGTAACGCAGGAAAACCATCCAAGACCAATTCCCACTTACAGTGATGGTGCAAGTATGGGGAAATATGTGGTACATATTCAAACTTGGGGCCAGACCCCTGAGGGAGGCTTCATGTGATTTTTGTATTTGAGAGAAAGGACAGAGTGTGACCTTGCAAGACAATTCTTCCGTTTCTCATTTTTGGATTCGTTTTTGATAACACAATGATGTACATTAGAAATCAGAATACAGGAGATTTTTTGGAGAATTAGAATGCTCTCCCACTCCCCAGAAAGATTATAAGCAATTTCCACTCAGGCTCATGGTTGGGAGTATATGTTTTTCATGCCTGGGATGCCCAGTATTATGAAAGAGCCATGGTTGCATGAAGTTTGTAGTCCCCCCCCCAAGCAAGCAAATCACCATAGTCCTGTCTCAGACTCACGTTGTTCTTCTTTCCTGTTTTTCTTATCCCCCCCTCAATAACAACAATCTCTTGGTGGTTGTTCTCTCCACAAATCCAGTTTGAGTTGACATCTAGAAAGTTCACTCCCCCCACACTTCCCCCCCCTCACAAATTGCACAGCCCTCTATAATACACAATTAAAAATATAGTTCTGTGCAAATAAGCTAACTAGATATTTCAAAAGCTGAAATGCTCTTTGTAAAGTAGCATACAGGATGTTATTTATATATTTTCATTTGCGTCTGGTATGCCAAGGTCACTTTATTAGTGAGCGTTATTAATAAATAACTAAGATAGATGTTGGTTCAAAGGGCTTTGCCTTGACTTGTTAACTTTCAGACTTCATATGTTTAGAAGTCTTGGAAATCTGTTTTCATTGTGTTATTGTTTTGATGTGCCATTCTTGTTTTTCCTTTTGGGGTGTCTTCTGTGAAGAAATTTCATTCTGAGAGGGGAAATCATGACCGCAAATAATGTGTTTTTAATTAAACTTTCGAATTTTTACCAAAGCACCAAGTTGTAGGTTCTTTTAAAGCCTCTACAAACATTTTTAATTTACCATAGAATCATAAAGTTGGAAGAGACCTCATGGGCCATCCAGTCCAACCTCCTACCAGGAAGCAGGAATATTGCATTCAAAGCACCCCTGACAGATGGCCATCCAGTCTCTGTTTAAAAGCTTCCAAAGAAGGAGCCTCCACCACACTCCGGGGCAGAGAGTTCCACTGCTGAACGGCTCTCACAGTCAGGAAGTTCTTCCTAATGTTCAGATGGAATCTCCTTTCTTGTAGTTTGAAGCCATTGTTCTGCGTCCTAGTCTCCAAGGAAGCAGAAAACAAGCTTGCTCCCTCCTCCCTATGACTTCCTCTCACATAGTATAAGAATAACTTGTCATGCCATATGTTTCAAGGCTAAAATGGTTTCAGTCATGGTCTTATATAGTCTCTGACATTAGTGAAAGTTCCAGTAATTTCCAACTTATGGTAACACTATCATGGGTTTTCTTGGCAAGATTTGCGCAGAGGGGGTTTACCATTGTCTTTCTCCAAAGCTGAGATTTGTGACTTGCCCACGCATCCAGTGGGTTCTCATAGTGAGGTGTGGATTTGAACCTTGATCTCCAGAGTTGCAATCAAAATACTATACCATGCTTTTTCTTTAGTGGGATAACATAAATTATATCTATCTGTTTCATAGATTACTCTTTTTATTAAAGTGATATTTAATTATTCTAATTGTCAAAGCTATCTTGTCATTAGTGGTATGGTTCAGCTGCATAATGCCAGTCAAAATCTTAACTCAAGATTTAATGGCAGAATACTTTTCTTTCTATAGAGATGGTACAGAAAAATTGCTAATTGCAAGTCCAAAGTTGCATCTATAGCAGAAATTACAGTTTTTTAAAAAAATGAAGAGTTTAAGCATTTGTTACAAAAACAATCACTGTCTTTGAGCAGCATCCTGAAGTCCTATAGGAGAACTCAAATTTTAAAAAGGTAAAGATAAAAATTTTCCCCTGACATTAAGTACAGTCGTGTCCTACTTTGGGGTTTGGTGCTCCTCTCCATTTCTAAGCCAAAGAGTCGGCGTCCGTAGACACCTCCAAGGTCATGCATCTGGCATGACTGCATGGAGCGCCGTTACCTTCCCGCCAGAGCAGTACCTATTGATGTACTCACATTTGCATGTTTTCAAACTGCTAGGTTGGCAGAAGCTGGAATTAACAGCGGAATCTCTTGCCGCTCCTCGAATTTGAACCTGTGACCTTTCGGTCAACAAGCTCAGCAGCTCAGCGCTTTAACCCACTGTGCTACCTATATGTTGAGAAAAACTAAAGGAATTCAGTAATACTTTAAAGAAAGATTATTGTCATTGATGAGACCATGTTTACACACGAAGTGGCCATGAGTAATTTGGAGTGGTCCAGTCACTCAAGTAATTTATTTATTTATTTATTTATTTATTTACAGTATTTATATTCCACGCTTCTCACCCCACAGGGGACTCAGGGAGGATTACAACGTACACATATATGGCAAACATTCAATGCCAAAGACACACAACAGATATAGACAGACAGTCAGAGGCTATTTAACTTTTTCTGGCCGCCAGGGGAGCTGTCGCTTTCATCGTCCATCTGCGACACTGATGAAGTACTTCCGCATTCCCCGCATGCTTTGCTGGAGTGCTTTTGCTGGAATCTTTTTTATGGCCTCGTAAATTAGTTAAATTAGCTTCCCCACACATATGTGGTACCTAATTTTCCTACTTGATAGATGCAACTGTCTTTCGGGTTGCAAAGGTCGACAACAAGCTACACAATTGGTTGGAAGCTCACTCTGACCCAGGCTGGCTTCGAACTCATGACCTTTTGGTCAGAAGTGATCTTAATGCAGCTGACACTCAGACAGCTGCGCCACAGTCCTGGTGGTAATGGTACTGTTAGATGCTAAACACATTGAATGTCTTCTAGAAGTTTTCAACAGGGCATCCCTAAGATGCTTATATTATGGGGTTTAATTGGTAATCTGTGTTCAGAGAGGGTTTATCATTGGCTCTCCTCCGGGGCTAAAAGAGTGTGACTTTTCCAAGGTCTCCTATTAGGCTTCTGTTGCCAAGTGGGGATTCAAACACAAGTCACCAGCATCCTGGTCCAACACTCAAAATCATTGCACCGTGCCAGCTCCTTTCATACTGTCTGTATTTTTAGAGTGACTAGACACAATTTTATTTCAACATGAACTGTAGTATCATTTTCATCCTTGCAAACAAGTATTACAATTGCAGAGTCATAAAGCTTTTATGCAATAAACACTTTATTGCATAAAGTGATTTTGCTATTAGGCATGTTAAAAGTATGCACACAAGCTTGTGTGGCAGCATTGCCTCAAACTCTCGTTATAAGAGCTGGGTTTCACTAAACTAATTGGGTATTCTGGTCATTGCATTAAAATTCCTGGTCTGTAGGAGAACGGCTCTTTTATGTTGACCACTGTGGTTCTTTCATCTCATATTTATTTCTTTTACAACTAATTATTCTTTTATAATTAATTAATTATAGTTCTTTTAAAACTAATTAGAACCTATGGTATATATAGTAAAACAAGTAGAGGCTGTGAGACTCAAAATAATTAATTCCGACAGTAAAATTTCTCAAACTTTATTCACATTAAAATGCCACTGTTCTTTTTGTATTTGAATGTTGTTTCTTTGACTAATCAATGCTGCAGGTGGAAAATAAACCTCTCCGCTTTTTTTCTCACAGACGGAGAATGAAGGCTCGTGCCCCTCCTCCACCAAACCATCCTCCCATGCCTTGTAAAGTTAATAATGAACATAATTTAGGCACAGAACTGGGATCATTGCCTGATCAGAGTGTGATGGATATGAAGGAAAATCTGATTAAAAGGACAGTTGACTTCACAGTAGTTTTTCCAGATGGAGAAGAACAGAAAGAAACTGTGCCTGGAAGGTAAGGCTTTTCTCTCTCTCCTTTTTATATGCATTTCTTTTCTTTTTCCCCTCCTTCTTTCTCTTCATTTTTATATTTTTCTTCAGAAAAGGGGAGAAATGGAGAGAAAGGCTGAGGAAGAAAAATAGAGGGGGAAAAGGAGAGGGGGGATGCCTCTTTCTGCCACGCTAGTGTGCCTCTGTCTCCAAGCTCCTCCCAATAACTCCTTGCCACCGGAGAAAGAGGAGGAGAAGGAGCTAGACCTTCGAGGAGGAAAGATTTGAAAGGGGGTGAAGCGGTATGGGTGCTGGCTGGCTATTTAGCTGCCAGAGGTTGCCTGGCAGCCATTCTGGGGAGGCAAAAGAGGCGGGGCCAAACGAGGTGGTGGCGTGACCCCTCACAAAACGCCAATCGACCCCTCTAGAGGTTGTGAGCCCCAGAGTTAGAACCGCTGTTCTAGGGGAAGCTGAAACAAGTACATCTGAGTAAGCCACAGAAGGGAAAGCCATATGCACACTCAAGTGTGGAACAGAGCAGGCAGGGTATGAGCGGTCTCAGAAATTAGCTAAGAAACAATAATTAAGCAGGTACAAGCTGAGATCCTAAGATATAAATCTTTCAGTGTTGTGACTCTTTGTGGCAGACTGTGGCCCTTTCCACACTGCCCCATATCCCAAGATCTGATCTCAGATTATCTGTTTATCCCAGATTAGCTGGCTGTGGAGACTCATATAATCCAGTTTTAATCAGATAATCTGCGATAAACAGATCTGGGATAATCTGGGATAAACAGATCAGATCCTGGGATATACATGAGATACACCTATAATTCAAAGGCACACCTCATTTTCAGAGACGTTTATACAATTCCCGAGTTATAAACATCCGTTTTACAAATGACTTATAGTTAACAATTGTGGTGACAAAACAAGAAATGAGATAAATGTACCCCTAGTAAGGTAAATTCACTCCTGAAAAGGTTATCACGGGGGAAAGGTGTTTCCAATTAAAATTTACCACCAATCCTTGTTTCCACAGCAAGCTAATTTTCTGAAATCCAATTGTCACAGGGACAGAAAGTGAAGTGAAATCTGAACAGGGGCACAGACAGTAAAACAAACTCTGCAGGGGAGTTAACCCTTCCCTATGCTACCCAAAGCTAATACATATATGCATATTTATTTAGCTGGAGTTAAATTTGCCTTATGGTGACAGCCTGTATAGGAAAAAAGTGTGTCTTAGAATGAAAGCAATACAGTAAATATACAGGGTGCAGCAGCATAACTTCCTTTTTTAAAATGTACGCAATTCAGTTGGTTGAAGACGTAGCGGAGCGCTAGTGGTCTCGTTTGAGAGGCGGGAGTATAAAGTTTTGTCCTAACACAGTTCAGTCGCCATCATGCGTTGGAACAGTGAGTAGCGTGCTTTTGCCGTTGAGGCCTCATCTTGACTTCTTGCTTTGGAAGCTGACAGCCAGCTCATCTGAGAAGACATTGTCTGTTTATGACTTTTGAGAACCATAGCTATTTATTCCAGTCCTGATCTCTGGTTTGACCTCAGTTCTTAAATAGAAATGGGAAACTGTTTGTACCATTTCTTTTAGTGTAGTTTGGGGCGTACTTCCAAGGGAATTGTATGGAATACAGTTTTTTAAAAAAATTGCTATGTTACTCCACCCTCACAACTTCTCCTGTCATCTACTTTGGAGGTTTACTTTCTTAGGGTGCAGTAGTGAGTGGCAAATACTACAGACAATCCCGAACCAGAGAAACAAAGCACAGCAGGGAGGCTCTAAAAGCATGCTCAGGACTGTAAGACCAGCCTTTGGACAAAATGGGAGGGTGCAAGAGTGGGTGCATAATGAAGAAGATGAGAAGAAGGGAAGTAAGGGAAGAAAGGCACACAGTGAAAGAGCACAGTTAATCACATGGAAATCTTCACAATGATGTGAAGAGGCAAGAATAAAGGAAGAGGAAAGAGTGAGAACCTGAAAGGAAGGCAAAGTGGAGAGCCAAGAGGAAAATTACAAGGGACTCTGGCAAAAGACCACAAGGAGAGACATGGAAAATAGATGAGTCAATACAGATGAAGAATTTAGATTCTTTCTGTTGTTCTTTGTCTTTACAAAGGGAGTCCTCTAGTGGTGTCCTAGGGTTAAAGACTGACTAAAGCATTTGGAGCCAGGATATCTGAAAGTCCACCTCCTCCAATATGAGCAAAGGTGGTTGTGTTGTGTTTCCCAGCATCTCATGAAGTTCAGTTGTTGGGTACATGTAAAAAGTTTTTCTCTGTAGCAGTGCCTTAGCTGTGGAACTCCCTCCCCAAAAAATTTAGCCTGGCCCCATTTCTTTTAAACTTCCAGTGGGCAGCCAAAACATTTCTGTATGGCATTCAGTGTTTGAAATTTTTGTTTTAATTGTTTTAAAATTGTATTCTAGAATTGTTTCTAGTTGCTTAGAAGAGTCTTTAAAGGATAGATTAATATGTTTTAAAATACTTTACCTCTTTATTTAATCATTTTTTATTTGTAAATTGCTTCAGAAGTCATTGTGGCTTAGGAGATGATGGAGAAATACTTTAAATTGATAAATAAATATCTGAGAATGTTTCTTGTGGAGAATTGAAGAATGGAGTTGGATAACATAGTTGATAGGATTGAAGAGTCAAGTGAGTCTGGCTTATAGTTCATTTTTAAAGGTTAGGATTTTGGCTTCCTTTGTCCATCCTGTTTATTTTTAATCTTGTATTACTTTTTGGTAGTAAAAGATGGGGTTTCCTAAAATTCATGGAACTGTTTCTTCTATTACAAGTCCAAAACAGATGTTCGTAAGTTAAAGACTGCCAGTACATCAAAAATCCCTATGCGTGTCTATCAGATTGCTAAGAAGTGCAGAAACAAAACACTTGCCACAAACCCTAAGTGTAGTGATAGATAGAAAAATAGATAGATTTGTTTATTGATTAGGCAACACAGAGACAAATGGACACAAATACTACAAGTTTGATTGAATCAAACTTCAATAATCTGCCATTAAAAGTTCAGGAAGAATTTGCCTGTACCTCTGCAGGAAGTGAGATCAGTGGGATGCCATTCATTATTGTGTGAAAAAATGATTGTCTCCTTCAAAAGTGAGGACTGCTCCTTGCTTCTGTACCAGTAAATATCAAATCCGTATATAAGCTTCATTCACTCGGATGGATAATAATTTCGACTGCTTTTTTTTTTAGATGTTTTGTGGTGAATTCACATACTGACAGATTTTTTACATTTGCTGTTGGAAATATTAGCTACTACACATAGAAATGTTTCTGGCAATTAACTTGTTTCTGTTTCCTTACAGTAAAGCTGTGATGGACTTGTTAGTTGACCTGTGCAGCCGGCACCACTTAAATCCAGCCCACCATATTCTTGAACTGCGGTCTTGGGAGACCCAATACCCTTTGAATTACAAGCCAAATACTATGATAGGGATATTGGATGTACAGAAGATAATTCTGAAGGAGAAGCTTCCAGAGGAAAAGTTCAAGCAGCCACCACTTAAGATTCCTGAGGTCAGAAATATCTGCTCTGTAATCACATGCAACTTTATATATCAAGGAATGATGAATGTAGTCCTTTCTCCATATGTATTACGTTAGATAATTGTGATATCATTAGCACTTGTCTTTTTGTTAGGGTTTCCCCATGATTATGTCATGATGATCCTGCCTGGCAGTCACTGTGAACTTTGGGCATATAATAATCATCATCATCATCATTATCGTGATCATCATCTTTATACCCCGCCACCATCTCCCCGAGGGGACTCAAGGCAGCTCACAAAAGCACTTTAAGTGCCAGACATAAAATAAACAATACATAAACATATAAACGATGACAACTTAAATTTACAACAGCAAACACACATAAAATGTCACATAATATTTTTTTTTAAAATTCATGAACCACAGCACTGCCTGTGGATAAAGTTGGTTGTATTCAATTAACAATCCAAGTGCCAGAGTGAAACAATCACTAAGTCCTCAAGTTTGACCATTAAAATCTACTCAAGATCAATTTTAGTATATGTGCTGCCAAAGTGAGCACAACTATACACTTTTAAATTTTTCAGTCTTTTGACCCTTGTCTCTGATAAGCTTGTGCGAGACTGTGTCCCTCATCTCTTGAACTGGTCACCAACAGTAATAAAGTGAACTTGAACTTCTCAAAGTCAAAGGCCTGTCTAGTCTGTGTTTTTAGACTAGATCTAAAAGCTTGGGGAGTGGGAGGTAACCTAATCTTTCTAGGGGGGGCATATGGTTTATGAATCAGTGGCAGAGGCTTCTGATGGTGTAGGCTTATTTTGTAACATATTAGGAATGTGTGTAGAGGACTAAATGTGGTGTTATGGCTTAATTGATGCGTCATACACAAAATATAATATGGAATTGTCTGGTATCCACTTTGTCAACAAATAGCTCTTTCTTCTTTCCTTCTATTTGTAAACTCAAGTCATGTTTCTCCCAAAGCCTTGAGATAACTGTTTTCTGGTTTATGGGTTGTGCTATTAGAATAAAAGTTCCTCATTCAAAGCTGCAATCCAAAACAACAACAACAACAACAACAACAACAACAACATAATAATAATAATAATAATACCATCTGCCAGCTGCAGAAGGCCACCTTACTGGGATCGGCACACATTATTCGCTGATACATCACACAGTCCTAGACACTTGGGAAGCGTCCAACATGTGATCCAATACAACAACCAGCAGAGTGATCTTCTCTGCTGTGCACTCATCTTATTGTGTTTCTAATAATAATTGTTGTTGTTGTTCATTCGTTCAGTCATCTCCGACTCTTCGTGACCTCATGGACCAGCCCACGCCAGAGCTCCCTTTCAGCCGTTACCACCCCCAGCTCCCTCAAGGTCAGTCCGGTCATTTCAAGGATGCCATCCATCCATCTTGCCCTTGGTCGGCCCCTCTTCCTTTTGCCTTCCACTTTCCCCAGCATAATTGTCTTCTCTAGGCTTTGCTGTCTCCTCATGATGTGGCAAAAGCACTTCAACTTTGTCTCTAGTATCCTTCCCTCCAGTGAGCAGTCGGGCTTTATTTCCTGGAGGATGGACTGGTTGGATCTTCTCGCAGTCCAAGGCACTCTCAGACTTTCCTCCAGCACCACAGCTCAAAAGCATCGATCTTCCTGCGCTCAGCCTTCCCTAAGGTCCAGCTCTCACATCCGTAGGTTACTACAGGGAATACCATGGCTTTGACTAGGGGGATCTTTGTTGCCAGTCTGATGTCTCTACTCTTTATTTATCGAGATGGACATTGCTCTCCTCCCAAGAAGTAAGCGTCTTCTGATTTCCTGGCTGCAGTCTGCGTCTGCAGTAATCTTTGTACCTAGAAATACAAAGTCTGTCATGGCCTCCACGGTTTCTCCCTCTATTTTCCAGTTGTCAATCATTCTTGTTGCCATAATTTTGGTTTTTTTTGACGTTTAGCTGCAACCCGGCTTTTGCGCTTTCTTCTTTCACCTTGATTAGAAGGCTCCTCAGCTCCTCCTCGCTTTCAGCCATCAGAGTGGTATCATCTGCATATCTGAGGTTGTTAATGTTTCTTCCAGCAATTTTCACCCCAGCTTTGCATTCATCCAGCCCCGCACATCGCATGATGTGTTCTGCATACAAGTTAAAAAGGTTGGGTGAGAGGATGCAGCCTTGCCAGACGCCTTTCCCAATCTTGAACCAGTCTGTTGTTCCATGGTCAGTTCTTACTGTTGCTACTTGGTCCTTGTACAGATTCCTCAGGAGAGAGACAAGGTGGCTTGGTATGCCCATCCCACAAAGAACTTGCCACAATTTATTATGATCCACACAGTCAAAGGCTTTAGAATAGTCAATGAAGCAGAAGTAGATGTTTTTCTGAAACTCCCTGCCTTTCTCCATTATCCAGCGGATATTGGCAATCTGATAATAATAATAATAATAATAATAATAATAATGTAATAGTAACAACAACAACAACAGCAACAATGTTATTTCTTACCTGCCTCTTGACGAGAATGGGATTGAGTCACAGGTAGACTTAAGCAGATGGAGAGTGAGTGTGTGAAAGAGGAGTGAAAAGGGGAAGGCTGTCAATATGAAGAGGTCACAGGCAGGGTGTGGAGTCGGTCTTTTCCCTAAGATAGGTAAATGAATGTGGTAGTGATGTTTTAGCAGCAGTTGAGGAAACACCAGATAAAACAATGTTGGTGATAACTGATATCTATTCTGTCTCCTAACTGAACAGCACCAGACAGAGAAGGGAAAATTTGAAATGTCCTTATATATATCTGAACATTTTAGAAGTTCTAGCCATATAGAATATTTAGCCAAGAAATCTTGGGGGGCATAACTTTTGGAGTTCTGTATAGGTAGGTGGACAACCTATATACAGTCTATCCTTTCACCTGTTGAGTACCTCAATAAGAACAATTGTATGGAAGCAGCTTAGGGAAGGCTGAGCGAAGGAAGATCGATGCTTTTGAGCTGTGCTGTTGGAGGAAAGTTCTGAGAGTGCCTTGGACTGCGAGAAGATCCAACCAGTCCATCCTCCAGGAAATAAAGCCCGGCTGCTCACTGGAGGGAAGGATACTAGAGACAAAGTTGAAGTACTTTGGCCACATCATGAGGAGACAGCAAAGCCTAGGGAAGACAATTATGCTGGGGAAAGTGGAAGGCAAAAGGAAGAGGGGCCGACCAAGGGCAAGATGGATGGATGGCATCCTTGAAGTGACTGGACTGACCTTGAAGGAGCTGGGGGTGGTGACGGCCAACAGGGAGCTCTGGCGTGGGCTGGTCCATGAGCTCACGAAGAGTTGGAGACGACTGAACGAATGAACAACAACATGGAAGCAGCAATCCCAGTCAGTAGGAGTTGGAGCATCTCCCTCTGCCCCATGATCCTGAAGCAATTAACATTGCTGATTAATGCCCCTGCAAAAGGGGAGCTCCCTTTGGATTTCCTAGTATGGAACTCAAATCCAGAAATAATAATTTAGAAGCAGAAGTGCTCTGTGTATGTGTGTGAGAGAGAGGGCGGGGGGGAGGCAAAATATTGCTGAGATTGCAACAAAATTAAAGTTTATATTACTGTTCCTCCTTTCATTGCTGAGTGTATATGTTTTCAAATTATTGGGAAAGAGCAAAGGAAAAGTACAAGCAGCATTATATGTAATGAAAGAGACACTGGAGATTATATCACGAACGTAAATTGGGTAGTAGAACTCACCAAAGAATTTCGGAAGAAAATTTAGTCTGTGTTTAATTTTGACAAACTATTGATTGTTCTAAAATAAACGGCCTGCCAGAACATCTGATTGTATATATTTTATAGAGTGGACAAAAGGCCACTATGAGATCAGAATATGAAGAAGCCTAATGGTTTTCAGTTGGAAAGAAAGTCAGACTAAGTTGCATTGTATTCTTCCTATCCCCCTCTGCTTGATTTGTATATATAACATATGTAGAAAACAGGATTAGACCCAGGGGAGGAAAGTATGAACATTGAGGAAAGAATATAAACAGTTTAAGACTCCATACTATTAGCAGCAAATAGAATCATAGAATCATAGAGTCGGAAGAGACCTCATGGGCCATCCAGTCCAACCCCCTGCCAAGAAGCAAGAAAATCAAATTCAAAGCACCCCCGACAGATGGCCATCCAGCCTCTGTTTAAAAGCCTCCAAAGAAGGAGCCTCCACCACACTCCGTGGTAGAGAGTTCCACTGTTGAACGACTCTCACAGTCATGAAGTTCTTCCTAATGTTCATCTCCTTTCAAGAGTTGTGCTGGAGCTAAATGCTACCAATATCATGGACATCTAAAGATACACAGAAACAGATCTCAGAGTATATCAAGCATGAACTCACTAGAAACAAAGATGACTAAACGAAGGCTGTTGTACAGTACTTGTGACATTAGTTAGGCAGGTTAAAGCCTTTTTATTCAGGCAGACTTTTAAAAGTGCAGGTTTTAAAGATCAAGTTAGGAGGTGCTATGGTTTTTAGTTTTGAATATGCTTTTATGGATTTTAACTGTGATTTTAAAAATACCATTGATGCTTAATTCTGTTTTAATGTTTGTATTTTTCTAGATTTTAAGTTGTATTAACAGGTTTTAAATGTAAGCTGCTTTGAATCTCCTTGTGGAGAGAAAAAGCGGGGTATCAATAAACATCATAAAAATAATATCATGGGATAATAAGACTAACTGGTAAAAATGATAATATTTGGTAAAATGAAAGGCAGTAGGAAAAGAAGACTGCATTATAAGTGATTTGATTCAATAAAAGAAGCTTCACTCACGAGTTTGCAAGACCTGAATGATGACTGAGGATTTTGAAGTTCTCTTGTTCACATGGTTGCCCTCAGTCAAAGTGAACTTGACAGCAAATAAAAACAACAGCAGGTGTCTTTCTTCCTTGACATCTCTAAATCCAGTAGTTGAGTAATTGATATCTCTCTACTTAATGCTGCTGTTAATATTTTCTGTATTAGGTTTACAAGTGGTAGAGATCTGATGAGATTGTGCATATTCCAGGTGGCACGACTTTAGGAGAAATGGTTTCATAAGTGATTTCAGTGTGTTGATGCTCTTGAGTAGAAATTGAAAATTGCTGAAAATTAGCAATGTCCACATTGACTTCCTAAGGTACTTTGATATTTATCCTTCTCTACCCCCAATTTCAAAAGAATCTTCTGTAATGCTCTTTACGGGGGTAATTTCATAAATTTTGGTCTTTTGTAGAAAAGTAAAAAAGAAAGAAACCGTCTCTTGGTTTCCGAATATTCAAGCCAAAATGTGACAGAATCCCCCCCCCCCTTTCTTGGGTTTTCAATAGAACATTGAAAAACATTTTCCCACAAAGAACATACTTCTGGTTATGGGGGTTGTGAGTACATCTCTGGGAGGTTGCTTGTAGGCCATAGTCAATACTTCTTCCCATCCTGGCAAGTCCTAGTTTGTTTTAATTAATGGGATAACTTTCTTTTATCCAGAATGATCTGCTTTGATTCCATTGTTAGAAAACTCTGTTGATGCTGAGGCTGACAGGGGTGGTTTGCTGTTTCATTTTTTGCTTCTCCAGAAAACTGTGCGGTTGGTAGTAAATTATCTCAAGACACAAAAGGCAGTAGTTCGAGTGAATCCAGAGGTGCCTCTCCACTACATAATCCCAGCCATTTGTGAAAAGTGTGAGGTCAGTCAAGAACACCTTGTTCTCCTGAGGGATACCTTCACTGGAGAAGAGTTGGAACTTACAAAGTCATTGAATGAACTGGGGATAAAGGAGCTCTATGCATGGGACAGGAAAAAAGGTAAGTCAAAACATATTCTAACACACCAATAAGAAACTGTATTTGACATTGGCGATGATGGCATATGGAAGGTTAGCATGCATATGGGAAGTTTAAAAAGAGGGTACCAGTTTACCCTTTTTTGGAATGGTGTCCCAGAGCCTGGGAGTTCCCACCAAGAATGCCCAGAGGAGTTAAGAAAAACTTTCTATTTAGTTATCCAATAATTAAATAATTAAATTGTATTAATTTATTTAATTGTCCAATTAAAAAAATATTTAAGTATCCAATTAAAATTATTTAATTATCCAGTAATTAAATTTTACCATTTTATTGTAGCAGCAATAAAAACATACTTAAAGTTTACCAGTGAGTTCAACTGGATGTGCTTCTGAGAAGGCATAGCGAGAATGTGAATCACTAGAAAGATCTAGTATGTTTATAACTTAACAAGTTAATTGACTATTTTTTCCTAGGTTCTGGACTAGATCAACCAATAGTGTATTATTGCAAATGTTTATAATTTGTATTTTAAGGTGTTTTCTTAAAATAACTTGGGGCAGTTCTACACTTTTGCCAGGGATGCCTGGAGTGATGTTGGCTGTGGCACCACAACAGCACAGGAGGAGGTAGAGGAGGCATTGCACTCTTCTCTCTCCCTTCTCAGATCTCCTTATCGTTCCAGCCAGCTTAACTCCAGGTGACGAGTGACTGGCACAACCTGTGTTGCACCCACTCGCTGCCACAATGAGGAGAACAGAAGGGGGTGGTGAGTGACACACCATCTCCCTGACCAGCCGAGGGAATACTGACCTGCCATGTCAATAGTTGCAGCCAGTTTTGTTTCAAAATTGGCCCATCTGTTCTGCATGGGCCCAAAGTTGTGGTTTCCTCTGGATCCTGGAGGAGAATTCAGAGCAATCTGAGATTTTGGTTAATGTGGTTTAAAGCTGCACCAAGCAACTTTCGTCCACATTAACCCAGATCAACTCTGTGTGTGTTTTAGCTTATTTGCTGTATGTTACAGTAGGACTTCGTATCATGACCGCTTTCTTTTCCTTAGTTCACATAATATATATCTAGTGCAACTAGGGAATGTTAGGTCTTAACTGGGCACATGTATGAGTTATGAAGCACATAATAAGATTCCTCTCTTCTCCTTCCTCTGCTGTTCCATATTTATCTATGGAAAAACCAGAAATGTTTGCAAATCTGGCTGTAAACAGTTGCAGTTTCACATTTTGAACTCACTTGGATCGTTGCATTATAATGACAAAGGACCTCTTCACACAGGACTAAAATAGCCCCGTATTGCTGCTTTTGGCTGGGCCTAGACAAGGACTACTGAGCGTCATCAGACGACACATGGCAGCCCTGCCAACATTCCTTCCAAAGTGGAGGGGAAGTGCCAGAAAGCGCTTCATCCACCGCCACAGGGAGGAAAGTGTGTTTTTTTCCTCCCCTTTTCCCTGTATGATGGGGGAAAGGGTGGCGGGGCAACATGCATTGCTGCCCTTTCTTCCATCTGATGGGGATAGGCACCCTGTTCCATTGTCACTGTCTGATCTGGAAGGAATTACCTGGTGACAACAGTGCCCATCTCCACCATTCAGTGCAGTCCACCATTCAGTGCACCATTCAGGGAAAGAGGGGGGGTGCACAGGGTGCCGGGAGCCGCCTCACATGCCTTCTGTTTTGCCAACAACTGCTAGTGAAATGGAATGGCACAAAAGGGCCATGTGAAGAGATCCTAAAAGAATGGAATAGAATTTGATTCAGGAGAAAGTGACGGGATGGGGTAATCAGTAGCATTACAAGAAGATTGCAGTGTGGCATATATAGAAGGGGGTGACATTTGGCAGGGTGGTCATTCACCATCCATTTAAAGACATCCCCCCAGCTGCGTACCTCAGCTGGCCTGTTTGTCTCTGTTGAATAATTGCTGCACTGAATGGTGGAGATGGGCACTGTTGTTACCAGGTAATTCCTTCCAGATCTGGTAGGGCTGTTAACTGGGTTAGGGTATGAAGGCAGTAGTGATGGCTTCCACAGACTTTGTCCATAAAGAAGGAACACGGCATGATTGCACGGGTGGAGCTATGGGGGCAGGGCAAGGTGGACAGTGGTGTGCTGGGCAGCTGGGCCAAGATGAGGGAGTGGTGAGGAGGGGAGGGCAGGTGATACGGTGAGTGCCCCTTTTCTCTGTCACTGTGGCTTCTCCATAGGTTTGCACATTCTGACCATGAGGAGGGGAGAGAGAACCTCCTGCTTGTGAGAGGGGATTCAGGACATCAGGCAAAAGAGAGCTGTTGCAATGGTAGTAGAAGCATCCTCTCTACACCCTTCCCCCTCCTCTTCTGCAGGTCTAGGGGAATCTCTGTCCCATTGTTGCTCCCTCCCTCCCTCCAAATATTCTTGGCTGATGATTCAAAGCAAAGACCTCAAGAAAAAGAGATTACATCCTAGTAATAGGACCAGGCTATTCCCTGAATATAAACTCTTAATTAATGCTTCCTACTATTTCATCACACTAGAAGAGCCCCCGGTGGCGCAGTGGGTTAAACCCCTGTGCCGGCAGGACTGAAGACCGACAGGTCGCAGGTTCGAATCCGGGGAGAGGCAGATGAGCTCCCTCTATCAGTTCCAGCTCCTCATGCGGGGACATGAGAGAAGCCTCCCACAAGGATGATAAAAACATCAAATCATCCAGGCGTCCCCTGGGCAACGTCCTTGCAGACAGCCAATTCTCTCACACCAGAAGCGACTTGCTCCTGACACGACAAAAAAACAAACAAACTAGAGAATGAATCCACTTTAAATCTGGTTTCTGTCTCCTGCAGAATTCTGGGGTTTGTATTTTAGTGATGCTGTTAAAGGCTCCTCCCTAAACTACAAACCCAGAATTCTGCAGAATTCATTATTTTTTCCTGTAAGTTCCTACATTAACAGTTTGTTTATTTATTTATTTACACTATTTCTATCCCGCCCATATCAGTCCAAAGGCAACTCAGAGCGGCATACAAAGTCGGCACAATTTGATGCCATATAAAAAATACATACATTGATAAAAAGCAAAAAGGAAACATTACAATACATTTAGAGACATAAAAACAATGAATAGTAAAAAATTTAAAAAACTACGTCTTCTCGTTCAAATCTCATCCATTCAATCGTTTTGGCTGTTCCTGGGTCATTTTCCGATTCAAATTTGTCTGATTATCCTGAGGTTCCGAATGCTTGCTCGAAGAGCCAAGCTTTCACTCTTTTTCGAAAGGTCAGGAGGGAGGGGGCTGATCTAATATCCCTAGGCAGTGAGTTCCACATCCGAGGGGCTGCCACAGAGAAGGCCCTGTCTCTCGTCCCCACCAAACGTGCTTGCGAAGCAGACAGGATCGAGAGCAGGGCCTCCTCCGACGATCCCAAATTCCTGGTGGGTAAATGGAGGTTGCTTCTTTCAATACTTAAATGTTCTTCAGTGCAAATACTCAAAAATAGCAGGTCTTATCTCTTAATATTATTGCCTTTTTGTCCTATTTATTTCTGACATTTTCAGTTCTTCCATCACGAGCCCAGTCTGAACCTTCTCTGAACTATAGAGGTACTGTAAATGAGTCTTGGAAAGAAAGGATTCCCCTTTTCGATTTTTCTTTTGCACGACTTTGATGACTAACACTATTAGAGTCACTGTTTTATCTACCATCGGCAAATACTCCAAAGGCCATTTGCATAATTGAGCTTCTTATGTGCAAGACTGTAACCTAGCAAGTATTAAAACCTATAATCTAAAGAAATTGTGATATCTAGCAACACATTTCAGAGCCATTTGTTCATTAAGAGGAAATAAATACTTATCCCTGTTTACCTGCTTTTTGTCCTCAGATTGAGATTTATAAATAAGACCCTAGTGTCATCACACCTGTCTATTCTCTTAGTTCCATTTTGTAATCAACGATTATAAATAACAATAAAGTATACTAACTGTAGACTATTTTATAATACCGTTGAAAGAAAAGACTCTGCATTAACTAAATGGATTCACAGTCCCAACCAATGACAATTCTTTATATAGAAAATTGTTTATACATTTTGATTTTTTTTTTTTTTGCAAAGTGAAGTTTTCATTCATTCATGTTGCATAACTGTTGCATAGATGTGTCATTTAAACCATGTTAATGCCTCTGTGTCTGATTATTTTGTTTTATGGTCTTATTTGTGGTGGTCAAGTCTAAAGAAATGGTGCATGCTTTTAAAAATATTTTAGAATAGAGAGTTCTAATTTCTAAACTTCTTGTGGGAGTTGCCATTTTATTTATGCATCATGCTGTTTATCTTTCTATGTCATGTCCTTGAAGGTGTTAACTTAGTCTTTCCGCAGCATGCAATATATCTCAAATTGTAGATCTTAAGGAGCTACTGTATATACTCATATATAAGTCTAGAAATGTTAGTAAAATAAATTGACTCCCAAACCGTGGATTGACTTATCAGTGTAAGTACTGTACTGTAACTTAACGCTTATCAAAACTGTTGAGATTAACTTCACAATTCAGTAGCAGATCAATTGCACAACTTCAGCGCTTTCCAGTAGCTTCTTCCTGCACAGTATTTTCAGTCAACTGCTCCCACAGCCTGCAGTCACTCTGGAACCCTTTTACAGACACTTGAGCACATGCCTGGCCATTGTCAGTTTTACTATTGTTTTCCCCCCAGTCTAGATGATATTACAAACTTACCACAGCATACAGTTATATCTTGTCTTAGCAGACAGGTTCCTTTAATTACATATAGCCTTCGACGAACAACATCACAGCACAAGGAGAAATATACACTGTACATGACTTCCTTATATACAGTTCATTTACACATAGCAATCTCTGATTGGTTCCCAACTCATTGACTTAACTCAGACCCAGGATTACATCATTCACAATCACTTGGACTAGGCCAGAACACATTCCCCAAATGAAGCTCTATATACAGTTAATGCATGACTCAGCACTTCCAATAGAAGCCCATTAGCAGTGCATGACTCAGCTATATTACATTGCCATACATTGTAAAACCTGACAAAACAAATGAAAAGAACATCTCATTCAGTAGGTAAAAGGGAGCAAGGTGAGAGTTCTCCAGAGAACCCAAAAATATTGATCCCTCTACTCTCTTCACCTTGATGCTGCTGGCAGACTCAATTACATAAACACTGTTGCTGTAACCCAGGGATCCTCAAACCTTTCAAGCCGAGGGATGGTTCACAGTTCCTCAGACTGGGGAGGGGGGCGGGGGCGGATTATAGTTTGAAAAAAACCCCCTGTATATACTCAAGTATAAGGCAACCCCAATATAAGCCGAGGCACCTAATTTTACCACAAAACTGGAAAAACCTATTGACTTGAGTATAAGCCGAAGGTGAGAAATGCAGCAGCTACTGGTAAATTTCCAAATAAAAATCGATACCAATAAAATTATATTAATTGAGGCATACATCTTCTCCTCTCCTCTTGGCACAGCAACCCATTTCGGTTGTTATGCTGAAAGGAGAGGCTGCTCGCCTTCCTCTCCTCCTCTCTCGGCACAGAGATCCAGCTAGGTCGCTGTGCCGAAAGGGGAGGAGTCATGCAGCTGGTAGAAGCCCTGCAAAGGACTTCTTTAAGCCCCATGCCTTCCTGCCAAGACCCCCACTTGAGTATAAGCCGAGGAGGCCTTTTTCAGCATTAAAAATGTACTCGAGCATGTACAGTAAACTAATTCCTATGCACACTGCACACATCTTATTTTGTAGTGAAAATAAATGAAAGAACAATACAATATTTAAAATGAAGAACAATTTTAACTAGCATAAACTTACCAGTATTTCAGTGGAAAATGTAGGCCTGCTTCTGGCTAATGAGATAGTCAAGTTAATTAGGATTGTTGTTGTGTGACTGCAGATAGTTTCAGACTTAGTTAAGGCGGGTGCTGGGTAAATTACCTTAGAGGGTCGCTTCCGGCCCATGGGCCTTAGTTTGGGGAGCCAACTACTTACTATTTTCTATTGAAAAAAATCGGGTTCGCTATTGATTCACAGTTTACATTTCTACATTAAGTCTGGAAATGTATCTTCCACAGATATAGAGTATTTGCAATTCTGATTGTATGAATTTACATTAATAAATTCTTTATTCTACATATTCTTTCTTCTTTCTATCACCTGTATTAGTTATACTTTTTGCTTAAATAATGTGTCTTCTAGGAAAAGTCATGTGGGGTATGGGTGCTAATTAAAAAAATATCTAAACAATATTTTAAACATCTCTGTAAATGGGTTTACTATTTTGTCATGGTGGTTATGAAATGTAGGCGAGAATATCCCTGCTTCATACTATTTTGGTATCTCTCTTTTTGCTTGAATTATCAAGTTTTATTAATTCAACTATTTGAACCAATTGGAAAGTTACACAATGTGATTCTAAATTAGGTAGAGCTTAACCTCCCTCTCATGATACTTAACTATTTATTTTATTTATTAATTTAATTTATAGTTAAGGTGGCTAACAACCACACACTTTGATGAATTCTTACCCCTTTCCTCTCTGGGGACTACATTCCCTTCTCCGTGTTTTCCATCACGTTTGTCAGCAAAGAAAGGCCACTTCCTTTTACTATTGTGCCTTAGCATCCTTCCACAGTGCCTACATTTTTATACTCTTCTTTATAGTTAATGCAGTTTTAATATTTTATTATTTTTTCAAAAATACATCATAAATAAAATCAAAATAAAAAATATAAACAAAGCAGATTAAACAAAGTTAACTCTAGAGCTTTACCACCCCATTTTACCCACCATCCTTACCATAAAACAAACTTTACCCTTTTTCTAGAAAACAACAACATTAAAACATTAAAAATTGATGTCTCATCGCCTCAAAAGCAACTATCATACTGTTATGTTTCTACTTAATTGTATTTCACCTTTTGCTAAGGAAAAACAAATATATTTGGAATTAATACATAAAATCACAAGTAATATAAACAGTGTAAACATTTTAGCTAAATTTCAAATTATAAAATCTCATGTTTTATTCATTACCTTAATACAGCGGTCCTCAACCGAAGACCAGATACGGCCTTCCAAGGTCATTTACCTGGCTTTCGCTCAGGGTCAACCTAAGTCTAAAACGACTTGAAAGCACACCACAACAACAACAAGCCTATTTCATCGGCCGAAAGCAGACCCACACTTCCCATTGAAATACAAATAAGTTTATATTTGTTAAAATTGTTCTTCATTTTAATTATTGTATTGTTTTAAAGTGGTTTTTTTGCACTGCAAATAAAATATGTGCAGTGTGCATAGGTATTCATTCATGATTTTTTCAAATTGTAATCCGACCCTCCAACAGTTTGAAGGACTGTGACCTGGCCGTCTGTTTAAAAAGTTTGAAGACCACTGCCTTAATATTTTCCCCTTTAAAGTAAATTAATCTTATCTCAAATAGTTCATTTATGAGCAAGATGAGAGCAGAGAGATTTGATTAAGATGCCATTTTTCACATGGTAAACCACATCCCCTCAAGATAAGACTGGCATCAGATATTAATTTAAATATTCAATACATTGCTTTTTAAAATTTTTGAATTGAGTGTTTGTGCTGAATTGGAGTAATCATGATTGATTGTTTATATTTTAGAAAGAAGGATTTTTTCAACATCCATTGAAGCAACAGAAAAAGAAAAAAAGAGGTTCCTGGGATTTTTCAAGACAAATAAAAGAACTAATAAGGTAAATATGATATTTCACATATTAAACTGTGTTAGCCTTGATTCAGGGTGTGTGGTCCCCAGGGCTTCTTTAAGGGAAGTGTATGTATCTGTATGTGGCTATTCCCCTCAAAGATGCATATGCTTCTTTTGCTTAGAAGCAGCAAAGAACAGTAGATTGTATTGATTAGTTTTGAAAACAGGTTTGTGATAATAAAATTGACAGATTGAAGTCTCTTCTAAATCCTTTTGTCTGCTTCTAAATCCTTTTGTCTGCTGTGTGAATTAGGTGTAAATGCTAATTACATTAACTTGTGTAAAGAGTTGTACAATGTACACATTTTCAATTTGTCCTTGATTAGTATTGTCAGAACATAATGTTATTGTATTGTTTGTTAATTTAAGCTTCAGTAATGTATTCCAATCTCTGTACTTTCTATTGGCAACTTCATCAGTATATTAGTTTGGTGGAAGGAAAAGTCACTTGTCTGTCATTTGGAATTATGTTTACCAGGAATTAATGCAAGATGTTCTGTAGTGTCTTCCTACCTGCAAAATTTTAAGTTTTTTATTCATTTCAGCCGTACATTTAATGGCAAGACCATGACAGAGAAGGATATGCTACTTACACTTTCTCTCTTCTTCAGCTCCACTGTGCCATATATTTAAATCTACTACAATAGTAATTTCTTGAACAGAAGTTTGCTTATTTGTGTTCCAGGCAGAAGAGAACTTGACCGTTATGATGGATTGGGATTATGGCAGTGAAGAGCCTTTAAAAACCACAGCAGCAAGTGAACAGAGTCTTGATGTAAGTATTAACTTTGCCTCTAGGTGGTGGTGCAATATAAAATAATTCTTCTGATTGCTCACTGGAACATTCATTGAAGTAAGAACACCATAAGCTTGTAGCAATGAGATTCAATCTTGTGTAATATATGTCATTTAGAAACAACAACAACAAAACCGTAAGTACACATATAGAGGAACAGAAAAGAGGGACAGGTATATGTAGTACTGCATAGTAACCCACAGGTCATTTCTGACTAGTGAGAGCCCTAAGGTAGGGGTCCACAAACTTTTTAAGCAGAGGGCCAGGTCACAATCCTTCAAACTGTTGGAGGGCCGGATTATAATTTGAAAAAACAAACAAAAACATGAATGAATTCCTGTGGCCACTGCACATATCTTATTTGTAGTGCAAAAAACACTTAAAACAATACAATAATTAAAATGAAGAACATTTTTTTAAAAAATATATATGAACTTATTAGTATTTCAGTGGGAAGTGTGGGCCTGCTTTTGGCTGATGAGATAGGATTGTTGCTTTGTTGTGTGCTTTTAAGTTGTTTCAGACTTAGGTTGACCCTGAGCGAGGGCCGGGTAAATGACCTTGGAGGGCTGTATCCGGCCCCCGGGCCTTAGTTTGAGGACCCTAGCCCTAAGACAACACTATCACGGGCTTTTTTTGGCAGAATTTGTTCAGAGATGGATTGCCCTTGTCTTCTTCTGGGACTGAGAGAGTATGATTCACCCAAGGTTATTCAGTAAGTTTCCATGGCCAAGCTGGAATTCGAACTCTAGTTTTCAGAAGTGTAGTCCAACACTCAAGACATTATACTGCACTAGCTTTCATAACCAGAGGAGTATAAATCTGGTGGTGAGTTCCTTCATACCAGAGGTAGGTAAGGTGTCTCATACACCCTATACATGCCAATATTTTATATATAAAAATAGGGACCCAAATGTGAATTTGTAAGATACGTGACTCAGTGATACAGGCCCGTAGCCAGGATTTTCATTCAGCGAGGGGGGGAACAGGGACACTGAGTTTGATTTCGTGGGGGGGGGGAGTTTGATTCCGTGTGGGGGGCTCAGGATCTACCCTAGCAAACTTTTTGTATCATTATCCCAATACCCCCATGCATATGGGATATATTGAGCATGGTGATCAGATCATGATATGAATAAACATAACAGTTTAAATAATGTACCAGTAAGGCCTTCTCACAGACCACCCTGAGAATTTCAGGGGGTGGGGGGCTGAAGCCCCTGAAGCCCCCCATAGCTACAGGCCTGCAGTGATATGAGGATGTTATTGAAAGAGTATGGTGATGTGCCAACATGATTAATTAGGAAGAAGATAAAATTTGTATTGTAGGCAGAGAAACCTCTATATTTATGTACTGGATTCAGAAGGGGAGGGAACTACAGTAATATGTATGTTGGCAGCATAACTATAAATGCACTGTACATTAATGTAACATCAATCAAATCCTGTTCAGAATGACAGATAGCTTTCTCTCATAATCACAATCACCGCATGAGGTCTATGTCAATACCCACCGTGTCTGGTCAATACATATTCTATATCAGAGTCATTTATACCCCACCTTCCCCATAAAGAACATATGGACACAGCTTTACATATTTCTTTACTAGTGTTCATGTTTTTAACTCTGTCATGTGTCTATTTGTTACTATAGTTTAATTTGTTGTTTCCCACCTTGATTCATGGAGAAAGGTGGGTTGTTGTTGTTATTTCCTGCTTCATAGAGTTGTTAATATCAAAATGGGGTGTGATATGAGTGGAGAAAAATAATGTAAAATATCCTCAGCTCCCGGAAGTAAGTGGTGTAGAATTAATTAAAAAACATGCAGTTAGAAAACTCATCATTATTATAAAGGATTTGATGCATTCAATTTACTTTTTAGAACATTAGCTAGGTTACAACTATATAGACCCGGGGAGTTTAAACATTTTCCTCTTATGATCCTTTTTTGCTTGAGAATTTTAATGCAATATCAAGTATATATGTATATAAAATAGGTATGCAAATCAAGCATTAACTGACAATCTATATAAATAAAACTGTAATGTTCATTTGTGGGATTAACAGAACTCAAAAACCAGTGGACGAATTGACACCAAATTTGGACACAAGGCAGATAACAGCCCAATGTATGTCCTTCGCTCAAAACAATTGATTTTGACATTTGGGAGTTGTAGTTGCTGTGATTTATAGTTAACCTACAATCAAAGAGCATTCTGAACCCCACCAATGATGGAATTGACCCAAACTTGGCACACAGTTCTCCCATGACCAAGAGAAAATACTGGAAGGGTTTGGTGGGCAGTGTCCTTTGGTTTTGGAGTTGTAGTTCACCCACATCCAGAGAGCATACTGTAATTTTTATAAAGATTTCAGGACAAGAGATTCTTTATGAAATTGTAGTATATCAGTAATTTTTGGTTTTGTTTCAGATAGCTGTTATGATGACTGTTATTGTAAGGGTTTTGATTAGGTTTTTCATCTGCTTTCAGGAAGCTATCACAGTTCCTCATTCTTCTTCAGTGAGTTCGTATTCTGTTCCATTGGGACCATCACTGTCTGTTGGGAACGTCTCAGCAGTGACTGGAAGCACTGAAATAAAAAAGCGGAGAGCACCTCCTCCACCAGCAATTCTTTCTCAGCTGCCAAGTGTGGAGACAAATGGAGATGAAAATATTCTAAGTCAAGTAAGTACAGTATTTAAAAATACAAACTGAAATATGAAATCCCAGTAAAATCTCCACATAAGAGGATGCCAGTTGACACAATTTGATGTATAAGCAGTTGCAGGAGAAAGTGATGGCTTTCAAATCAATAGCTTCGCTTAATTTCTAAACCAACTGTTTGAGAAAATTAAAGCATGAAATTAACGTATATAATGCGTTAATCTCTACCCACCACATTTTCATTACATCCCCTCCCTCCCTGCATAAAGCAACAAACCAGTGGCCAAATATCTGAATATTAGTTTTAGATAAAATAAACAAATCTGAGAACATTGAGTGTTGTTTCCACATTCTCCCACATGTGGCTGTCTGTGAAATTTCATGCTCCTTGTCTCAGTTAAAATCAGTAGTGCTTGTTCTGAATGATTTGTTCTTACTTTGTGGTTGTTAACTGCCAACAAGTTGATTGTGACATATGGCAACCCTGTGAATGAGAAACCTCCGTTTCATCCTCTCATCAGCAGCTCTGCTCAGATCTTCCTTGGTTGTGTTCCTTGGTTGAATTTATGCAGTTCAGCCTTCCTCATTTCCTCTTGTATTTTATCTTGCCAAGAATTGTTGTTTTTCCTATTGAGTCATGTCTTCTTGTGATATGTCCAAAATACAGCAGTCTCAGTTTAACTACTTTGGCTTAGATTTTCCTTGTGTAAGGAAAATGAATGAGTGTTTC